AACAGATTCAGCATGTTTGCAAACAGGGCATTGATGTGGAACTGGAACCTCGGTGGACTCTGCCAGACTGCCGCCTCTGTGTCAGCACCAGGTCAGGGAGGGAGGGGGCGAGAGAAGGAAGAGAGAGAGAGAGAGAGAGAGAGAGAGAGAGAGAAGAGAGAGAGAGAGAGAGAGAGAGAGAGATGAAGAAGAAGGATATAGAGGGAGGAGGGCACAGTCTAACATCCATAGCAACCCTGTGCTGGGCCGTGTTGTAATTTGTGTGATCTGTTTGTTATGCTGACTCAGATGTTTTCCTGAGGCCTGGAGTGTGACACACACACAGTGGCCATTGTGCTTATGGGTGGAGGCAGGCAGGGCAGAACATCAGGCGGTCTATGGGAGGCTAAGGCGGGGTGCAGCGCTCTGCTCTCTTCTACTGGAGTGCCCCCAGCTGCCCCATAGAAGGAGAGAAGGAGCCAGTGCAGGGTAAAGGGATCAGTGACTGACTGCAGCTGGTAGCAGCTCCTTCAGCAGGTGGCTTGGCCTAATTACCAGGCTAGAGATGCCAACAGCATGGCTCCTCCTTCCTCAACCAGGCAAATATAATGAAGCTGCTTGGACGAGAGAATATCTGCCATAAAATACAATTAAGTAGTAATTGTTCTGCATCCTGAGGAAGAGGGTAAATTGATGGGGTTTGCCAAATGTGAGGCTTGTTCAATGGAGAGGGAGAGGTTGGCAGTGATCTGTAATGTGGAGAGCGTTCAGCGCTATTGACTATCCACAGTGAGCTCATTTTTGAAAGTGAAATATGGAAGCGATATCATAATGTGGTGAGGCCAGAATATTTTTCCCCAAGGCATTATTGAATGGAAAATAGATATGCCTATAGTTCATCAGGTTTTGTATCACGTATAATTTTTTCTCAGATGTAGGGATTACACATACTAAACTCCTGTGAATTCATTGAAAACCAACAGAATACAGGAAGCCAGCGAGAGAGACCTCCTGACCCTGGCTACTTAATAAAGGTTGATTCAATCAAACATCTGATTGTTTGTAATAACTATTGCCACCCTATTGATTCAAGTCCATTTAATTAGGCAATGTTATCCTGCGCTCCACGTCAGCATTGATACAGGGATAAAGTGCTGAACATGCTACTGGGTAATCCTAGGAGCCTGCAGAGCCACTACTTACAGACCACTCAATCAATGATGTTGGGGATTTGTGCTAATGCCAGGAGAGGACAGTGAATCTGCACATTTTGACCACCAACCACAAGGTCAACCTAACCTCAGAAAATGAACAGCTACTGTGCGTCCAAGAACTGATCTAACCAGAGGCCTGCGTGGATCTCGCGTTCTTCTAAAGCGGAAGGGCCAGTTCCTGGGCTGTGATTTGTGAACACTTCTCTATGTCACTGTGTTGTGAGCAGAGGCTCATTTCTCACATCAGCCTGAGCCCTCTGACAGCTGCATCCTTCCCAGCAGGCATAGGGCCAGAGCCGACAGCCGTGCCAGGGAAAGGCTGAGCATCTCAATCCAATAGTCAAAACCAGCTAGACAATAAGGTGTTTCCGTGGCAATGGCTTGCTGATGTTGTTGTGTTGATGATCTGCCTCCGCCCCCTCTTATCCACTTGACCCTCCCACCGACCGGAAATAAAATTCCCCTTTTTAATCAGCGGAAGGTGCACACAGCCAGAGAGGATGAGGCGAAGCGAGAGGTTTCAAATCTGTCCAAAATAAGCGTTTCTTTGGGCTTATTTTGGACATAAGCTTGTCACCTGCCTTCCCGCCTTTGGAACAACGACTCCCATTGTTAGGGCGGCGACATGAGCATCTCATCATTATATGCAGACCTCTGACACAGCACAGAAGGAGTGAAGGAGACGAGACCAAAAATCCAATATGAGAACAAGCGGACATAAACACTCAAAAAAATTAAGAATAATAAAAAACGTGATTCTTGCGATACAGGCATTTGGAATATTGCGCAAAAAAATAAATGCAAACTAATCAAATTAATTGTATATATCGGCCAGATCTACGACAGGGCCTGACCCAGATTGCCTTGAGAAGGCCGCATGGTGACAGGTTTACTGAGGCGATGGGACTAGAGACAGAGAGGGAGAGGATGAGGTTATGACGACCACCCCTCTGCCTAGCCCAACACACATCTACTCTACCTTCACTAAGCATTCAGACAAAGAGCTGGCCCGGGCCTTACAGTAACAGGGCTCAGAGTGATACAGTAGGGGCAGGGTGGTTTGGGAGGGGCAGTCACTCTGGAAGGGCAGTGAACCAGGCCACTGGCCCTACTCTCCGGTGCTGCAGATGGCGGCCTACACTGTACAGTGAGTGATATGCTGAGAGGCAGGCCATGAGTAGCAGGCAGCACACTGCTCTGGTGTTAACGTGTTAAGGCCTCCCTCTGGGGCTCTGGGCCACGTCTGTTATCCAACACTGACCCACTTCATTCAGAGGTCTGACCTATTTTGAGGCTTCAAACTCAACCTCCACATCCCTCTCCGGTGAGACCAGCTGGAATTCAAGGGACGGATGCATGGTGCTCATATGGCTTGCCCAGCGCCCGTGGGCCACACTGCAGCTTTTAGGCTCTGAGTAAAGTGGCTCAAAGTCTCAGAGGTCCACACTCTCCAAAGCAGAGATATGCCAGGGCATCTGGGCAGCAGCATGACTGGTGCAGCTCTTTCCTTTGCTCTGATGAAACTGCCCTGCCAAAGCACACACATGGGTCAGTGCTCAGTGCTCTGGGTCTGGTGAAGGCAGGGGAGCAGGGCATGGTCCCCACTGCAGACACCCTGTTAACACCAGTGCAACATGCTCTGGTCAGTCAACTGTAACTCTTCATGGTTGACTAGACTCTAACTCAAATGATAGAAGCACTAGCAAGAGCTACAAGGGAGATGACAGTATTGGCACACAGACAACCCTTTAAAGCATCATTCTAAGGCATGTTAAAGGACATCTTTTAGATACATAGCTATAAACATTGGCGATAAAGGTGCTGTGTTATATTGGCATCAATAAAGATATAGTAACATAAATGAATAAAGAAACCATCCAGCTCTTATCCCTAACCTTCAGCTAAATTTACACAGAGTACTGAGACATCATTGCTTGGGTGACAAGTTAATGCCCACATTTGTCATGTATTCATGGCCACTCAGAATGTATAGCCTTCACACAATGTGGTATCACATAAGGGACAACAGCAGAAAGCAGGTTCATACAGCGGATACAGGCCTTACTGCTGCAGCTACCCTTACATTTTTTTGATGATGCAGTTTCACATGTGAAAAAACTTTCACACGCAAAACCATATTTTCACATGTATTACATTTTGAGTTCACATGTTAACACCACCTTTTCACATGTGAAAAGTTTCATGTGAAATTGTTTATGTGATTTGTTCACATGTGTATTCTACTGATGGGGGAAAAAATCGATACAGTTACATATCGCAATATTATTTTGTGACGATATTATAGCGATATTTGACTCAATTATTGATTCGTAAAAAATACAACATTATTTTATTTGTATTTTTGCTACTGTAGGTAGCGTTAGCTAGCACTAGTCAGCTGTACCTGCGCCAATACTCTGGTATTTTTCATCCTATAGCTTGTTCTCCATCTTCTTTTTAAATAGTGAGTCTTTTATTTCCCTGATCAAACCTCGTTTTCTCATGCTCTCTCTTGTCTCTCTGTAGCAGACAAAATGTTTGGAACATCAAATCGCAATAAAATCGCAGTATCGAATCGCAATACATATATAATTGTGAGAATCGTGAGAATCACAATACATATCGTATCGGCACCTTAGTATCATGATAATAATGTATCGTGAGGTCCATGGCAATTCCCAGCCCTAGTGTGTTCCGAAAACCATGTGTTTTTTCCCGTGATTTTTCCATGTGGTTTTTTTGTAAGGGTATCCCAGGCTTCATCTCATTCAGAATCTGTGTATTAACAAGTATGCAGCAATACTGTGTCCAGACACCCTAACAGCACACAAAGACACATCTGACATTTAACTAAGAGCAGCCAAACCAGACACACAACAACAAAGTTGTGCCATAGGCATTTGTAATGAATCCTTTATAAACAATTGGCTTGTATAATCATAGTGTTGGAGAACTTAAGGATAACATGAAAAGGCCCAAATGGCAGCTGCTACACACTATATTATAGTCTATTCCTGCTTAATTGATACAGGGCACAGGAGATGACTCACTAGCACTGCATGGCATTTGTTTTGCTTCATCAGCAGACAGCATTGATAAATGCTATCATTATGTTCACGTAACGACATCAGAGTCAACTAATGAAAATGATGTTATCCTCCTGCTCTATTTTAATGACGACTCTTAATAATGGCTATCACTTATCAATCACTGTAGTACAGGTTGCCATTTACCAGCATGTGTGCTCTTTTGAGTACAAGATATCCTGCTTCTTATTGTCTTAAACACAACATTATGTGATTGCTTTCCATGATTTGATTTTCCAATGTATGTGTAGCTGTAATTTCTAGGCACTCTCTTGACATGCTAGCATGTTGTTGAGCAGTTAGATCCAATTGACATGGCTCATAAGGCCACTGTGCTCTGACAACTGTTGTGGAGTTACTATAGCGGTGCCTCTGAAGCATCCAGGGAATTATGCAGCCAAGCAGGTGGTGACAAGACTGCCATCAGGCTAGTGGAAGGGCAGGTCCACATAGAACAGAAAGATGAAGAGAACTTCTCTGCTGCCTGTTGATGAATCCATGCTGTTTATTGCCTTGGAATAAAACAAACTGGTGTTGCTAGGGCACTCTCAGCATGGAGCTTATCACAGAGATGGAAAAACCCATTTAGAATCTAATCCTTCAAGATGACATAACAGTGCTGAGTTTAAGTAGCTTTTAAACATGCCCTGCGGAAGCCACTGATTGGATTCAGAAAATTTTAGCAGAATGTTGACGTGTCTCTCTAGGATCCCTCCGAGGTTTATACCACTGCAACAACAGGCAGACTCCTTACAGAACCAAAGCCTACGTTGTGTCGCAAAATGTGATGGATGTTGATACTGTAAATACAGTACTATACTATATAGATACATTACAATATAAGAGTGAAATTGTCTGTGAAGTGACTTGATATCTCAGGAGAGTACAGTGCATTCAGAAAGTATTCAGACCCCTTGACCTTTTCCACATTTTGTTACATTACAGCCTTATTCTAAAATGGATTAAATTGTTTATTTCCCTCATCAATCTACACACAATACCCCATAATGACAAAGCGAAAACAGGTAGTTAGAAATTTTTGCAAATTCATTAAAAATAAAAAACGTAAATATCACATTTACATAAGTATTCAGATCCTTTACTCAGTATTTTGTTGAAGCACCTTTGGCAGCGATTACAGCCTTGAGTCTTCTTGGGTATGACGCTACAAGCTTGGCACACCTGTATTTGAGGAGTTTCTCCCAATCTTCTCAAGCTCTGTCAGGTTGGATGGGGAGCGTCGCTGCACAGCTATTTTCAGGTCTCTCCAGAGATGTTAGATCGGGTTGAAGTCCGGGCTCTGGCTGGGCCACTCAAGGACATTCAGAGACTTGTCCCGAAGCCACTCCTGCGTTGTCTTGGCTGTGTGCTTAGGGTTGTTGTCCTGTTGGAAGGTGAACCTTCATCCCAGTCTGAGGTCCTGAGCACTCTGGAGCAGAGCATTATGGATCTCTCTGTACTTTGCTCCGTTCATCTTTCCCTCGATCCTGACTAGTCTACCAGTCCCTGCCGCTGAAAAACATCCCCACAGCATGATGCTGCCACCACCATGCTTCACCGTAGGGATGGTGCCAGGTTTCGTCCAGACGTGACGCTTGGCATTCAGGCCAAAGACTTCAATCTTGGTTTCATCAGAACAGAGAATCTTGTTTCTCATGGTCTGAGAGTCTTTAGGTACCTTTTGGCAAACTGCAAGCGGGCTGTCATGTGCCTTTTACTTAAAAGTGGCTTCTGTCTGGCCACTCTTGGTGGAGTGCTGCATAGATGGTTGTCCTTCTGGAAGGTTCTCCCATCTCCACAGAGGAACTCTGGAGCTCTGTCAGTGACCATCGGGTTCTTGGTCACCTCTCTGACCAAGGCCCTTCTCCCCAGTTTGCTCAGTTTGGCCGGGCGGCCAGCTCTAGGAAGAGTCTTGGTGGTTCCAAACTTCTTCCATTTAAGAATGATGGAGGCCACTGTGTTCTTGGGGACCTTCAATGCTGCAGAAATTTTTTGGTACCCTTCCCCAGATCTGTACCTCGACACAATCCTGTCTCGGAGCTCTACGGACAATTCCTTCGACCTTATGGCTTGGTTTTTGCTCTGACATGCACTGTCAACTGTGGGACTTTATATAGACAGGTGTGTGCCTTTCCAAATCATGTCCAATCAATTGAATTTACCACAGGTGACTCCAATCAAGTTGTAGAAACATCTCAAGGATGATCAATGGAAACAGGATGCACCTGAGCTCAATTTCGAGTCTCATAGCAAAGGGTCTGAATACTTATGTAAATAAGGTATTTCTGTTTTTTATTTTTCATAAATGTTTTCACTTTGTCATTTTGGGGTATTGTGTGTAGATTGATTATATTTTTTATTTATTTAATACATTTTTGAATAAGGCTGTAACGTAAACAAAACGTGGAAAAAGTCAAGGGGTCTGAATACTTTCCGAATGCACTGTATATGTTTTTAAATAAGAAAGTGTTAAATTAAACAGAAATCTGTCTTGTCCTCAGAATGTTCATCATATGTAAACATCTCCTTCTTCCTCTTTGGGCGTGTTTTGAAGTGATTAATCCCAGGATGATTTGAAGTAAAGGTCTTGAGTTTAAATTTCAGAAACTATAATGTGAGGGACTAAAGTGGGAGTGTCTGCCAGTAAGCACAGGCAGATTGCTTAAAGCTGGAATCCTTAATGGTGAAACAGCCATGTCGGTTTGGGATATTACAACTACAACGAAGTTACTGCAAAAGACGAACACTGTGTTTTCCCCCTCTGACATCATTGCATGATAGAAGAGCAACAAAAACAATAACAACGGTGGTGGGGTGACCAGTGACACTGTCTTCCCCTAATGCGGATTCTATCTTTAAAGCTGCAAACATTCTCAGGTATGAATCGAATATTTGTGGCTTTCCACAGGGTGGACACTTGTTTTGTCTGCGGCCACAATAGAAAAATGACCTTTTTGTGTTCCCCTTCAGTAGCTAGTCTGTCATTTCTAGTTTGGCTTCACTTTCTGACAGAGCCCAGGGATTGTGCGTGTGTGTGCGGGTGTGAGCGTCTGTGTGTGTGTGCGGCCTGTGCCTGCACAGCTTGTGTTGGCCAGGGAGAGACTGGCGTACCTTATACGATGGAACAGACAGAGCATTCTTCCCTTCTCCTGGTCTGCTCTGCTGGGGCCTCGGACTGAACATGAAGTCTCAAACTTCAGACCAAAGCCGATGTCACATGAAGCAATCTGGACACAATTTATGTTGATTGCAACAAAGTTGCATCTGGGTTGCTCAGTGTGTCACCCCACTATATTGCCTGCAACTTAGTCACATTGCATCCTATTTCACGCAACTGACGGTACAGTATGCAATGTCCAATCAGTGAGCTGAAAAAAGTTTACATGACTCGTCATATCGTTCCGTTTGGAACACCTACCCAGTTGTCATATCAACACAGCTGTCAGTGCTGCTGAAAACCACGACAAAAGATACATGCCAAATGGGATATGTAAACAATTATAGATACCATGGTTAGTCATGGTTTATGAACATGGTCGTCAATAAATGTAATTTGAAAAGTGAACCCAGACCCTTCTTTGTCCAGTTTCAACTGTCAATTTTCCAACATGAACTGCACTAGCTAGCTAGCTAGCTTGGCTCATCGCTAGCTTGGTTAGCTTGCTAGCTACAGTGCCTTCAGAAAGTATTCACACCCTTTGACTTTTTCTACATATTGTTGTGTTACAGCCTGAATTTAAAATGTATTACATTGAGCTTTTTTTGTCACTGACCTACACACAATATCCCATAATGTCAAAGTGGAATTATGTTTTTTGAAATTTGTACAAATAAATAAAAAATATAATCTGAAATGCCATAACAAAGGAGTTGAATACTTGTTGACTCAAGTCAATAAGTATTCAACCCTGTTGTTATGGCAAGCCTAAATAAGTTCAGGAGTACAAATGGGTTTAACAAGTCACATAATAAGTTGCCTGGACACAATAATAGTGTTTAACATGATTACCTCATCTCTGTACCCCACACATAGTGTCGAGAAGTGAATTTCAAACACAGATTCAACCACAAAGACCATGGGAGGTTTTCCAATGCCTTGCAAAGAAGGGCACCTATTGGTAGATGGGTCAAAATAAAAGAAACTGACATTGAATATCCCTTTGCACATGGTGATGTTATTAATTACGCTTTGGATGGTGTATCAATACACCCAGTCAATACAAAGATACAGGCGTAATTCCTAACTCTGTTGCCAGAGAGGAAGGAAACTGTTATGTTTGGGGCAAATCCAACACAACACATCACTGAGTACCACTCTTCATATTTTCAAGCATGGTGGTGGCTGCATCATGTTATGGGTTGGTTGTCATCGGCAAGGACTATGGAGTTTTTTATTTTTATAAAAAGAAATGGAATAATGCTAAGCACAGGCAAAATCCTAGAGGACCTGGTTAATTCTGCTTTCCAAAAAACACTGGGAGACAAATTCACCTTTCAGCAGGACAATAATCTAAAACACAAGGCAAAATATACACTGGAGTTGCTTACCAAGATGACATTGAATGATGCTGAGTGGCCTAGTTACAGTTTTGACTTAAATCTTGAAAATCTATGTCAAGGCTTGAAAATGGCGGTCTAGCAATGATCAACAACCAACTTGACAGAGCTTGATGAATTAAAAAAATAATAATGTGCAAATGTCCATTTTGAATTCAGGCTATAACACAACAAAATGTAGAATAAGTCAAGGGGTATGAATACTTTCTGAAGGCACTGTAGCTTGGTAAAAAAGCTGAAGAATATAGATGCCTGATGAAGACCTAAGGGTCGAAACGTTGTTATAATAAAATCTCCTGGGAGTATGAGCAACAGTGTGCAGCGTTTTCCTTTTTATTTTACTCTAGCTTGGTAAAACATGGTTGGCAAATAGGCAACATTTTGGCTTACTATCGAAATTGTACAGTCAGCATTTTGTCTATATCGATGCTGTTACAATTACCAAACATTTGGTTAAACAAATAATTTATGAAACCATGATGTGATTTATGACAGGATTGCATGTTGCATTCAATTTCAATTGCATTTGAATTGCTTCGTGTATCAGCAAAGTTGCTTGAGATGATGTCACTTGCAACTAGCATCTGCAACAGAAATTGCGTCCAAATTGCTTAGTGTGACACAGGCTTAAGAGTGCCGATTTGACACACTCACACATTAATGGAATTGCATTTCAAAAGGCCACGTTTCACGACACCTCTCTGATAGAGGCTTTTGTTTGAACTTTATCTTTATCAATTAAAATGCATGAAGCATGAATTGAAAAAGACAAGATCGAAAAGATCCAAGCTTGAGTGTTCATCCTATTATGGCCTCCCCTCACATCTAGGAAAACATCTCTGAAACCTGTGAAGTTAATATGATCTTCAGTTACACGATGGAGAGCAGTGATAACACTTTTCCAATCATCAAACAACCATCTGTTATAGACCCCAGATCATAGAAATACAGCCTTTTAAAACGCACATCAATAATTGAGCCCATCATAACCAATTTATACATTGACACTGAATAAACTAATGTGATCCTTTCAGTCTTTATCTAGGTCCTCTCGTGTTACAGGAGATTACCCAGGCTGGAAAACGCCTCAAAAGCTGTGAGAGGTGGATGGGTGGGGTTAAATTAATGCTTTATGGAGGGAGCATCATTGCTAAGCCACAGTCTGTACATACATGTATGTATGTTTTTGCAACCTGAGGCTCTGTGGGAAGAGCCATAGTTAGAAGGTGATGGTGAAAGATCATAGTGCAGTGGGAACGGAGGGATATCCTGTTGACACTAACTCGCTAATCATATTTGTTTCCTTTGGCCCAAACGACATGGAAAACAAGATCATGTCGTAAAACACAGTGTTTATCCGCAGCACCACTTTCAACATCATGTCGTGATGGAAGCCATTTCACTCCTTCCTAGACAAATCCTTTCAACCCTCAGTATTGCATTTGAGCAAAATAATACAATGTTCAGTGGTCAACATGACTGGACCTGCAAATTCAACAGTGACAGATCACAAAACTGAAAGTAAAGAAATATATAAAATGCTAACATAGTTTGAATCCGTTTTATCTGCTGTTTAAGCACTATAAATCCTGCCTGGTAGACAGGCCAGCCCAGCCCTGTCGCCGAGTCAGTAGGAGTTGTTTTTCACAGAGATATGTAGTATGCATGTGCAGTCGGGCCGCTCAGACCCACCTCACATTGACTGGTTGGCATTCCTGCCTCACTCTGTAATTATGGCTCCACTCCTACAGACCACTGCTCTCTCTGCTCTCACTTCTCCATAGCACACTCTCACATTTACACAGGCCTTCCACTGATGTCATCCTGCCATTACCTGAACAGTTTATCCCAGTGGCTATTTACAGTGATCCAAGATGGCGTAGCAGTGTGGTCGTGTTCTTTGTTGTGTGTCCGTGTGAATAGCCTGTTTTTTGTATTTCTTTTGTATTTTTCGTACATATTTCCCTATCACACTTTTCATCCTTCTACTAAATATACTTTCCTGCAACCCGCCTCACTCAATGTGGAACGGATTATATTATTTACTCACCTTTATCTAGAATCTCCAGTTGAAACTAGCTAGCCAGCTAACTAGCTACTTGCTATTAGCCACCGTTAGCGGTTTTCACCCAGAACATCTGATTTTCTGCCGGAATAACTGAATCACTGGACCCTAACACCGGATCGCAACTAGCTAGCCGCAACCGAATGGATGTTGCTGTAGGCTAATCACCACTGCCCCCGAAGCAAGCACCAGTTAGCCTTGAGCCAGGCCTATATCCCGGCTATCTACCTCTTTGTCTACCGGACAGGAGTAGCCAGCTAACTAGCTACTTGCTATTAGTCACCGTTAGCGGTTTTTCACCATTGTCCGTGGCCTGCACTACCTACCAGCCAGCTCTAGCCTGGACTATTATCGGCCAGTCTGCACTGTCTGCACAGCGCGTTATCGACCCAGAACATATCGGATTTTCTGCCGGAATCACTAAATCACTGGACCTTTAACACCTGATCATCGCAACTAGCTAGCTGCAACCAAATGGATGTTGTTGTTGGCTAATCAGCCTTGAGCTAGCCTCGAGTTAGGCACATCTCCCGGGTATCTACCTCTATATCAACCGGACGGGACCTCCTAGAGTCGACACGGAGCCCTGCCGATCCATCACGACTGGTCTGCCGACGTAATCGCCTGATGTGGTTTCAACAGGCTTCCCGTTGCAAAGACCACGAAGATCCATCTGCTAGCCCCGGCCCGCTAGCACACGCAAACAACAGCCGTGCTTCCTGCTCGCTGTGCTTTAGCACCAATTCGAACTGCTCTCGGACTCACATATTGCTGTTCACTGGACCTTATGATCACTCAGCTGCACAGCTGATGCCTGCTGGACTGTTCCTTTACACGGTACCCTGTCCTGTTTATCTCTTTAGCCTCAGCCCAAACTTTCATCGCCATTACCAGTTCTTGTCTTAGCTCTCTCTAATAACACCTGTGATTGCTTTATGCCTCTCTCCCATGTCAATATGCCTTGCCTATTGCTGTTCCAGTTAGTTCTTATTATACAATTTCAATATAGAACCCCAAGTCATTCTCAAACTGCCTCAAATAGCTCCTTTGTTCCACCCCCCATACACGCAGAGACCAGCTCAATCTGTGCCTCCAGTGATGCTATCTCTTTCATTGTTACCCAACGCTTAGGTTTACCTCCACTGTACTCATATCCTTCCATATCCTTGTCTGTACATAATGCCCTGAATCTATTCTACAACGCCCGGAAATCTGCCCCCTTTATTCTCTGTACCCAACGCTCTAGAAGACCAGTTCTTAAAGCCTTTAGCCGTATTCTTATTCTAGTCCTCCTCTGTTCCTCTGGTGTTGTAGAGGCTAACCCAGGCCCTGCAGCCCCCAGTATCACTCCTACTCCCCAGGAGTTATCATTTGTTGACTTCTGTAACCGTAAAAGCCTTGGTTTTCTGCACGTTAACATCAGAAGCCTCCTTCCTAAGTTTGAGTTATTCACTGCGTTAGCACACTCCGCCAACCCTGATGTTCTAGCAGTGTCTGAATCCTGGCTTAGGAAGGCCACCAAGAATTCAGAAATGTCCATCCCCAACTACAACATTTTCCGTCTAGATAGAACTGCCAAAGGGGGTGGAGTTGCAATATACTGTAGAGATAGCCTGCAGAGCTCTATCATACTATCCAGGTCTGTGCCCAAACAGTTTGAGCTCCTACTTCTAAAAATCCACCTTTCCAGAAATAAGTATCTCACTGTTGCCGCTTGCTACAAACCCCCCTCAGCACCCAGCTGTGCCCTGGACACCATATGTGAATTGATTGCCCCCCATCTATCCTCAGAGTTTGTACTGCTTGGTGACCTAAACTGGGATATGCTTAACACCCCGGCCATCCTACAATCCAAACTAGATGCCCTCAATCTCACAAAAATTATCCAGGTACAACCCTAAATCCGTAAACATGGGCACCCTCATAGATATCATCCTGACTAACTTACCCTCTAAATACACCTCCGCTGTCTTCAACCAGGATCTCAGCGATCACTGCCTTATTGCCTGCGTCCGTAATGAGTCCGCGGTCAAACGACCACCCCTCATCACTGTCAAACGCTCCCTAAAACACTTTAGCGAGCAGGCCTTCCTAATTGACCTGGCCCAGGTATCCTGGATGGATATCGATCTCATTCCGTCAGTAGAGGATGCCTGGTTGTTCTTTAAAAGTGCTTTCCTCTCAATCTTAAATAAGCATGCCCCATTCAAAACATTCAGAACTAAGAACAGATATAGCCCCTGGTTCTCCTCAGACTTGACTGTCCTTGACCAGCACAAAAACATCCTGTGGCGTACAGCATTAGCATCGAATAGCCCCCGCAATATGCAACTTCTCAGGGAAGTTAGAAACCAATATACACAAGCACTTAGGAAAGCGAAGGCTAGCTTTTTCAAACAGAAATTTGCATCCTGTAGCACTAACTCAAAAAAGTTTTGGGACACGGTAAAGTCCATGGAGAATAAGAGCACCTCCTCCCAGCTGCCCACTGCACTGAGGCTAGGAAACACTATCACCACCGATAAATCTACAATAATCGAGAATTTCAACAAGCATTTTGCTACGGGCTGGCCATGCTTTCCACCTGGCTACCACTACCCCGGCCACCAGCTCTGCACCCTCCGCTGCAAATTCAGACAGCTGATGTTCTGAAAGAGCTGCAAAATCTGGACCCCTACAAATCATCTGGGCTAGACAATCTGGACCCTTTCTTTCTAAAATGAGCCGCCGAAATTGTCGCAACCCCTATTACTAGCCTGTTCAACCTCTCTTTCGTAATGTCTGAGATCCCCAGAGATTGGAAAGCTGCCGCGGTCACCCCCCTCTTGAAAGGAGGTGACACTCTAGATCCAAACTGTTACAGACCTATATCCATCCTGCCCTGCCTTTCGAACGTTTTTTAAAGCCAAGTTAACAAACAGATCACCGACCATTTCGAATCCCACCGTACCTTCTCCGCTATGCAATCCGGTTTCCGAGCTGGTCATGGGTGCACCTCAGCCATGCTCAAGGTCCTAAATGATATTATAACCGAGATCGATAATAGACAGTACTGTGCAGCCGTCTTCATCGACATGGCCAAGGCTTTCGACTCTGTCAACCACCGCATTCTTATTGGCAGACTAAATAGCCTTGGTTTCTCAAATGACTGCCTCGCCTGGTTCACCAACTACTTCTCAGATAGAGTTCAATGTGTCAAATCGGAGGGCCTGTTGTCTGGACCTATGGCAGTCTCTATGGGGGTGCCACAGGGTTCAATTCTTGGGCCGACTCTTTTCTCTGTGTATATCAATGAGGTCGCTCTTGCTGCTGGTGACTCTCAGATCCACCTCTACGCAGACGACAACCATTTTGTATACATCTGGCCCTTCATTGGACACTGTGTTAACAAACCTCCAAACGAGCTTCAATGCCATACAACACTCCTTCCGTAGCCTCCAACTGCTCTTAAACACTAGTAAAACTAAATGCATGCTCTTCAATCGAACGCTGCTGGCACCCGCACACCCGACTAGAATCACTACTCTCGACGGGTCTGACCTAGAGTATGTGGACAACTACAAATACCTAGGTGTCTGGTTAGACTGTAAACTCTCCTTCCAGACTTACATTAAGTATCTCCAATCCAAAGTGAAATCTAGAATCGGCTTCCTATTTCGCAACAAAGCCTCCTTCACTCATGCTGCCAAACATGCCCTCGTAAAACGGACTATCCATTCGACTTGACTTCGGCGATGTCATTTACAAAATAGCTTCCAACACTCTACTCAGCAAATTGGATGTAGTCTATCACAGTGCCATCCGTTTTGTCACCAAAGCCCTATATACTACCCACCACTGTGACCTGTACTCTCTTGTTGGCTGGTCCTCACTACATATTCGTCGCCAAACCCACTGGCTCCAGGCCATCTATAAATCACTGCTAGGCAAATCTCCACCTTATCTTAGCTCATTGGTCACCATAGCAGCACCCACCCGTAGTATGCGCTCCAGCAGGTATATCTCACTGGTCATCCCCAAAGCCAACACCTCCTTTGGCCGCCATTCCTTCCAGTTCTTTGCTGCCAATGACTGGAACGAACTGCAAAAATCTCTGAAGCTGGAGACTCTTATCTCCCTCACTAACTTTAAGCATCAGTTGTCAGAGCACCTTACCGATCACTGCACCTGTACACAGCCCTTCTGAAATTAACCCACTCAACTACCTCATCCCCATATTGTTATTTATTTTGCTCATTTGGACCCCTGTATCTCTATATGCACATCATCTCTTGCACATCTATCATTCCAGTGTTAATACTAATTGTAATTATTTTGCACTATGGCCTATTTATTGTCTTACCTCCATAACTTGCTCCATTTGCACACACTGTATATATATTTTCTGTGGTATTTTTGACTTTATGTTTTGTTTTACCCCATATGTAACTCTGTGTTGTTGTTTTTATCGCACTGCTTTGCTTTATTTTGGCCAGGTCGCAGTTGTAAATGAGAACTTGTTCTCAACTGGCTTACCTGGTTAAATAAAGGTTAAATAAATAAAAAATATGTTATGCTATGCCTGGGGCTATAGGCGGTGTCATTGCCATCATCATCATCATCATCATCATCATCAGTTTGTGATGATGATCATTTAGAAATGAACATATCACAGCAGAACATTAATCTGAGCAGAGACTTCTATCAATGGTGTGATAGTGGTAGTATATTATTCTAATTAGCATAGTTTCACCTCACACACTGGGTCCCACTGCACTACAAGGAGACAAGGCAATGTGTTACTGTGAGCTGCAGATGAATATTCATGTCTCCTGACACATTGATGTACAGTATGAACTTGGTTGTGTCAGACTGAGAACAGACTCAATACAGTGATACATCTTGCAAGCAGCTTTCTTTAACATGTTCAAATAGCACATACGCCTTCATCACCCTTTACAAGGATCACACTGTATAGTTCTGCAAGAGTACTATCCTCTCTCACTGCTCTCTGACTGCCTATACTACTACCACCTCGTCCTCCTCTGTCAACTGTTTCTATGCCCTTTAACCCTTTAAATGCACCGCACTGCTCCATCCATTTCATGGACAGTATGTGAGGCTGTTAATTCAGGTTATCCTTACAGCATCAATGTATTGTAGTGAAATATAAAGAGTAAAATCTGACATAGCGAGCATGTAATAGAATTGTTCAGGCTGGACAGACGGACAGACAGACAGACAGACAGACTGCGGGAGACGGGAGACTAGGGGGCTAAAGGGAAATCACTATGCTGACTGTCTGTTTTAGTCATTAAACATACAGAATCAATTAGGCTACCATAACACCAGCTATTAACCTTCATACCGTGGGCCATTTGGATGTATTAAGCCCATATAAAACAACATATTCAGCCTCCCCCGTGCAGGTGCTGTATGTTGAGGTGGTTTTTCTTTAGTAATGTCTATGGGTGTGTTTGGTCTACATTTGTCAACAATAATATATATCTGTATGTGGAAATATAGAAGCATCTACAGTATTTCAGCTTTTCGAGGCAGTGAAATTCAACGCTGTCATGCTGAATCCGGAGTGTCTTGTAAAAGTGTTAGAAAACTATTTAGCAAAGGAAAAAGACTGTAAATTACAACGAAAGTAAAACTTTATCTGATTACCTTAACAATGTGTATGTTCCCTGCGTACAATGATGTGTACATTAATGAACAATCATCGAATACATTATCAGCATGTGAAAATAAATCTTAGAGAGGTTCAGACAATCTCGTCCATTCATGCTGCTACAAGCACATGACATGCCCACAGCATGGGGATTAGAACGATCAGCTGAGCACATGCTCCCAACTCAATAACACATTGTTCTCCAACGCTCACCACTTGTTTTCCTCCAACTCTCCTTGCAGCTTATCTGAGGAGAACAGCACCAAATCTCCCTCTGTGCCTGCCAAACTTTAATCAATGAGAGTCCACTTCCTACTGTACAGTGTTAACAAGGCGCTGCAGTTCTGCCTTACGTCAAAGCTCTTTTGTTCTGCGCTTGTTTGTTTCTGTCACTTATAGAAAAACCACAACGTGCTGTGAAAAATAGCTAGGACTTGAAACAAAGTACATATGACTAAGAATGAAAGTTAGGGAGGTCTACGCTGTTGGCCTAAGATCACACAAGACACTGAAGGCCTTTATCCTTGAGTTTGACATTCACATCCTAGTTACACTAACAAATGTCATCCCCATTACTAATGTTGTGAGTGTTTCCGGAAGTTTGTTTGCAACGTGGACCTTGTCTCCTCTTCAGCCGTCCTTTCAGTCTGTTGTACTGCTGATATATCAAACATGGCCACGTATGCAGCCAGTAGCTGATACACAAAGCCACGTCGTCTCTATCAAATCAAAGGCTACTAATGTGCATGCAAGGACAACACGTTACAGCCATGCCTCTTTCAAAATAGGAAACCTGCTTGCTTTGATGAGAATTGGTGGCTGTATATACCAGGTTAACAATGCTATCTCTTTCATTATCAACAAAAAATACGGAAGAAAGAGCACATGTTGGGCGCAGTGGTCTAAGGCACTGCAGTGCTTGAGGCGTCACTACAGATCCCGATTCAATCCCGGGCTGTGTCGCAGCCGGCCATGACCGGGAGACCCATAAGGCGACGCACAATTGGCCCAGCGTCCGTGTTAGGGGAGGGTTTGGCCGGCCGAGACGCTCTAGCGTCTCCTGTGGCGGGCCGGGCGCATGCACGCTGACACGGTCGCCAGTTGTACAGTGTTTCCTCCGACACATTGGTGCGGCTGGCTTCCAGGTTAAGCGAGCAGTGTGTCAAGAAACAGTGCGGTTTGGCAGAGTCATGTTTTGGAGGACGCATGGCTCTCAACCTTCGCCTCTCCCGAGTCCGTACGGGAGTTGCAGCGATGGGACAAGACTGTAACTACCAATTGGATATCACAAAATTGGGGAGAAAAAGGGGTGTAAAAAAATAACTATATATATAATTACAAAAAAGAAAGAGCACATGTTGCAGGGAAATGTCCAATAATCCCTCAAAGATTTGTCACCTTGACAACTGTAGGTCTTCAAAGTGAGCTGCAGTCAGAGAAATTAGTTCTCAATTTGTAAGATGACTGTGAATTATCTCTGTAGGGGGTCTTCCTCTTGCAGCAGATTTGAGCCAGCAGCCTACATCTAGCCTAATGGCTGTGCTATAACATGCCCTGTGTACGCCCTTCAGCCAATCAGAATGGAGTATTAATCTATGGTGTGTAATTGTGATCATACAAGGTGGTCTCATGTTAAAATTACACACACTGAATGCTCAATGTACACCAGACAGCGTACAGCTAGGCAGAAAAATATCAGTGATCATGTGCCTTCAACAATGTTGTCAAAACATGGGCCTTTACAGTATCCTTAAGGTACATTCACAAATAATAATCTGCTATTTAAGGTTATCTCAGAAAGTGCTTTGAATGCACTGTTAAAACCTTGAAAAGCCACATCAGCAGTGAAACACCTGTGTGAGAGAGCAAGCCAGCTGAGTGGAGATATTTTGCACATTAATGCTCCTTTGCCATCCCTGGCGTCTGCACTTGACTGTGATTCCAGCACAAATGTAATTGAGAATATAAACCCCTCACAGATCTGCTCACCTGGCGGTGAGCACAACACAGAGAATACATTCACGCTGTATTGACTCAAAGGCAAGGATGTGTAACCACTGTTAGTCCTTCCACCATACAGAAGTACCAATTTAGGTAGTCTTGTGAATCCCTTGGCGCTGGAACAAATTCATTTTGAAATGCCAGTGTGACAACAATCTCCTTCTCTTAAATATTATTTCAATATATAATATAATATATGCCATTTAGCTTTTATCAAAAGCGACTTACATGACGGACTGCGTGTTTACATTTTTTAAGTATGAGTGGTGCTGGAATTCGAACCCACTATCCTGGCATTACAAGAGCCTTACTCTACTGAGCTACTGAGGACCACACAACACTTCTTGCAGTTCTGAAGCAAATTTCCAGCAATTCTACACCGTTTGGCATGGAGCTGAGAGACAATTTTGCAGTTTTAAAGCTAATTTCCTGCAATTCTATGCATTTCTCCATGGCTAATACAGTGTTCCTCTGCTCAGACATTATAAGAAAACCAATGGGAATGTGCCCTGAATGCAAGGTTTTGGGAATTTTCAGATTCTCCCTGATTATTATTATTATTATTTATTTTTTTACGGACCCCCTGCAGTACCTCGGCAGACCCCAGTTTGAAAACCCCTGCATTCATGCATCTAACTCACTTACCTATATACAGAGAGGAGTCTTTCCTCTTCACATGGTCGTCTATGTATGACACACCCAGGGGCTGAACTGGGGTGGCTCCAATCCCCAGCAGCATCTGGGCCCCAATCAGCAACAGGTACATCATGTTGGTGTTGGCCTTGTTGGAACACATCTCCTCTATGTACTGCCCACCATTCCTGGTACTGTTGGCGCACCCATTCCTGCCCACCTCAGTCCTCCATGTCTGCCCTGGCTGGTACTCATATTGTTTGGTTAGAAATTCTGGCAGTGCTGACAGAAGAGCTCCTAGCGCCATGACGATACCCCCACAGCCAATCAACCTTGGCCGGTGTGCTTTGGCCCCGAAGTAGCTGACGAATAGGATGAGAGCCAGGTTGCCAATCTCAAAGCTGCTGGCGATCACACCCACGTCGGCACTTTGGAGGTTGAATCGTCGCTCCAGGGTGGTCAGGACACTTACCTGTGAAAGCAACAGCAGAGGAAATATGTTACTCATAAAAGGCAATCATAACTAACTTCCCAAAACTGATTAACTCCGTAAATTACAGGGTATTATCATTGTGAGGCTGAAATATTACCAGGCTTAAAGCCTATTGTTTTCACACTAGCTGAGAATTATGTAATTGAGAGGAACATGAAAACACCTAGCTTACAAATAGCAACTACAGTTTTACCATGAGTAAGAAAACTAGAGTCACTTGAAATATTTGATGCATTTGAATGAATGGCCTGTGGTATACTGAATCACATCACAGATGTGTGCAGTATTTTACAGTTGCCATTGAAAAACAAATAACCGAGACTGTAGGCCTAAACATTGAGAAAAAAAATACATTTGTATTTAGGGTATTTTTTAGGGGTGTAACGATTCGTTTTAACAACGATTCGATTTGTATCACGATTCGTGGTTGTCGATACGATTCAAGGACGATATTGGTTCATTTAGAACGATACGATCCGAAACGATTCAGTGACTTGAAATCGATTCAGTAACCTTTTAGCCAAAAATTCAACCAGTGTGACTGAAATAAATACCTGGATACTGGACAGTGCAGGTGAAGTTTCCTAGATTCCTGTTTCTTGTAAGGACAACAATGGTGGCTTGATAATTTCTCGCTCGTCGGCTTCTCCTCTGTCGTCCGCCATGCTATGTTTTGTTGTCTTTGCGCCTTTGCGCTGCTGCTGGCGCGGGGCGATGACGTCACGGATAGGCAGACTGAATCGAGTAATGTTTAAAGCCTTTATCATTAAAAGTGCTAAGAAAAAACATCCATATAAAGTCTGACGTGCTTAAATCCAATGGGTTATTTCCTAGTATCGATACAATCGATTTATTACATTTTAAAACGATGTTAGATTGATATATGTTGTCCAAAAGGCCAACTCGCCTAGCACAGATCGATGTAGTTGGATCATAGGAATATAAATCGATACATCGATGTAGTAGATGGATCGTTACACCCCTAGTATTTTTGTATTTATTAATTCGGATTAAGTGTCATATCATTTTGGTTATTACAGAACAACGTTATATAAGTCAAATGAACTGTTTCTATATTATACATCTCTGAAATAATTGATTATACCAAATGTAATACAAAATAATTACATAAAACTCTACATATTGGAATTATAAGGGGTAAATGAGAAAAAAATAGGATATTATTTGCATGGTGGAATTTTGAATGAAGTAGCATGCAGACCACAAGAGGGTTTAGAGCAGATGAGAGAAATAAAGCACAGCCTTTTACATAATCCCTTTCCTTTGGATATACTGACTCACAGACCTCTTCAGATGTTTGTTATTGTGGTCCGAGTAAAATCCTGTCTGCCAAGATCCATCCCTGTATTTCATTAGTTGGGCACTGCAGCACTAAGGCGCGCCGGATATATAGCTAGAGAGAGTCTCTACGATGAGCTCGCGAAGATCTGCGAGCGAGTACTCCTCTCGATCTCTCTCTACTCTCTAGCTATCATACTCTCTCGCTAGCCTCTCTCTCTCTCTCTCTCTAGCTCTCCTCCTCTCCTCTCTCTCTCTCATCTCTCTCTCTCTCTCTTCTCTCTCTCTCTCTCTCTCTCTCTCTCTCTCTCTCTCTCCTCCTCTCTCTCTCCTCTCTCTCTCCCTCTCTCTCTCTCTCTCTCTCTCCTCTCTCAGCATTTAATGCATACCACTGTCTCTAGATGGAAGCTGGGGCAGCAGGGGATTTTGTCTCCCTTCTGCCATTGTTGGTATAATACATGGAAGTCAGACATTATGGATTGCATTTCAGTTCATCAGATAGGATCCTAACTAAGTATAATGATACAATGTATCTCCATTTCATTTAGATTTTTTTTCATGTGATATGCACCCCATCACAGACTTACCAAACCCAATTTGTAACTGCCACGAAAGCAGACAGTGAATCACCAGGTTTTTTATAAGACACTGATTTCCATGATGAACGCAACTTGAATGATAAACAACTTCACACAGGCTCAGGAGGACTGTACATAGTTTGATAGCAATGACCTTGGTGAATCTGGCCAACTGAGTCTTCTGTTTTTGGTACATGAATGTGGTTTAAGCCCAGATACCTGCATTGGTTGTCTCCTAATAGGGTAGAAAGATTCTTAAAGAACATAGCCAACCAACCACCCACACATATGTATCAACACTGTAAAGGCAACAACGATGTATGGAAAGACCAAGACAAGACTCTGAAACAGACATGCATGGAATACACACAAATGCTCTACCATAAAGAAGAGGAACAATATCCCTTACTCGGCAGGAAGTATAATATGCTGCCCATTCTCAAAGGAGTGGATCCTCCGATTTATCTAATTTTGCATGCAGCATCCTCGTCTGCCTTTACTTCAATTGGTAAGTATTGCCTGGAGGGATTTCACAAAAAATAATGTGGGTTTGTAATGTCTGAGAACCAACTGCTGAGCCATATCCCACCAGTCACATTTTCACAAATGTATCAAACTATTTTCAGATGTGTCCCAAAATGCCCTTGAAAGGGCATGGTCCTGTTCCATTCCCACAGCGATGTCGAACAGGCTAATAGGCTAAGTTAAGCTCCTCTAAGGACCTGTGGAGACAGGAAAACAACAGCTAACGTAGATGCCAGCAGGAAAATTGTTATTCTCTCTGTGACTACAAAGTGACTTAAATTACTTTAAATGGCAGGTGTGGCTGAGTAATAACTATACTAATACAACTAGCTACACTTTGATTAAATGTGAACACAACCACAGGTGGATCAATGTAGTGATGTCATCCTTTGCACAAGGCCTATTATTATAAAATGTTTTATTCTCTTAAAACTACAGCTCAGCAATAGGGATGCTATGTGTGTCCAAAATGGGCTTGCAGTCTCATTTGAGTTGCCAGAGAGTGTAACGTGGCTTCCCAGCAATACTGGAAGAGCGAAGAGCTGGGCTGGAAACATCACCATCTGCTCTTGTCCTCAGAGCCCATGCCAAGCCAATGCAACCTGTTCACGGCACAGCTGGAGCTCTCAGCACTCAGCAGAAACCAGCACAGGCTACTGAACCTCCACCTCACCACCACGCCACAGCAGAGGAATGGCAGCCAGGCCAGGTAGACCATGTCATGTCATCTTCTGCCCAGGCCAGCTTAGTGAGCCCTGAAAAGTGCAGTGAATTTAGAAGAGCACCCATCCCCTAAATTCCAATGTGTGTACATAGTTAAAGATAGACCTGGAACCTTGAACCCAGGACTAAACAGTCAGTCACGAAAGTTTGTTTTATTTATTGCAGCATGGTTACAATGCAAACTTGTCTGGCAGTGTTTTCATGAACAATGTGACTGTCGCATCAACATTACCTCAGAGGAGCCAAACCCCACACAAACATCCCTTTTTTAAACAATAGGATAAGGTTTGTGTAAGCACAGTATGAGACATAATTATAGCCGTTTGCTAAATAAAACTCTTGAAGTGTGTCTCAGGTTCCTATTCTGTCTAGACGCCCTTTCAAAAGGACAATTCAGTGTCTGTCAGAGGCCTTTTTCTGACAAAACCCTATCTAATTCCAAAACATGAAGTTGATCCCTTGGCAATTAAATATTTCACTGTTTGTCTGTACTCTCTAAACTTTACCAATCTGCAAATTGCAAGATTGGATACTGCATGGTAGTAACAACAAACTTTAACTATCACTTAACCTGAATGGATTAAAGTCTCAAAAAAGTTGGTGTCTAATTAACATAATCAACTACTAAAGCTGGGTTCGAAAATCTAATATATGAGGGGGAAATGATAAAATACATAGATAGTTCAGCCTGTTTTCCAACGAGTAGATGGATCACATAACAGGAAACAAATTCACCACTGTCAATCATCACCACAACATACAAAATTGGACTACAAAGGCTGAAACCACATTCAGTTGAATTTCCGAGAACTGAGAACTAAAGGTAGGCCTACACACCATTTCCAGATAATTCTCAAAATAAACTAGGGAAGCTGACAGTCATATCACAACCCCACAGTTTTGAGAGTAATTGTCCATGCAGTTTTGTGCACTGACTATTTACCCAGAGACTATGTTGCCTGGAAAAGAGTCTGTCCATTGAAAGCGGCTAACGTGGAGCAAGAGCATAGGCCATGACCCATGACTTCCAGGCTGGCTCCCTGGCTGCACGCACACACTTTAAGTCGCCTCATCCTATCATAGACACAACAGTAGCTCTGACAGGAGAACATCTGATGAGGTCATGACAGGGTCATCAGCTTGTCCCTGTAGCTGGAGCTGGTGCCTGGTTTCCAGCCCATGCAAATGGGGCAGGTGCCATGTTAAAGAGACTAGCTGTGCTTACGGACGATAGAGCATTGCTGAAGTCCTGTTTGCTTACGCAAATCATGCGCATCCCTCTCTGATCCATCATTTGCAAATCCCTGCCTGACCCAGAGTATACTTTACAAGCAGACATACAGTTTAAGTCGGAAGTTTACATACACCTTAGCCAAATACATTTAAACTCTGTTTTTCACAATTCCTGATATTTAATCCTAGTAAAAATGTGGTTTTATGTCAGTTAGGATCACCACTTTATTTTAAGAATGTGAAATGTCAGAATAATAGTAGAGAGAATGATTTATTTCAGCTTTTATTTATTTCATCACATTCCCAGTGGGAAGAAATGTACATACACTCAATTTGTATTTGGTAGCATTGCCTTTAAATTGTATAACTTGGGTCAAACGTTTTGGGTAGCCTTCCACAAGCTTCCCACAATAAGTTGGGTGAATTTTGGCCCATTCCTCCTGACAGAGCTGGTGTAACTGAGTCAGGTTTGTAGGCCTCCTTGCTCGCAGACGCTTTTTCAGTTCTGCCCACAAATGTTCTATTGGATTGAGGTCAGGGCTTTGTGATGGCCACTCCAATACCTTGACTTTGTTGTCCTTAAGCCATTTTGCCACAACGTTGGAAGTATGCTTGGGGTCATTGTCCATTTGGAAGACCCATTTGCGACCAAGCTTTAACTTCCTGTCTGATGTCTTGAGATGTTGCTTCAATATATCCACATAATTTTCCTTCCTCATGATGCCATCTATTTTGTGAAGTGCACCCGTTTCATCAGACCAGAGGACATTTCTCCAAAAAGTATGATCTTTGTCCCCATGTGCAGTTGCAAACCGTAGTCTGGCTTTTTTATGGCGGTTTTTGAGCAGTGGCTTCTTCCTTGCTGAGCGGCCTTTCAGGTTATGAGGATATAGGACTCATTTTACTGTGGATATAGATACTTTTGTACCTGTTTCCTCCAGCATCTTCACAAGGTCCTTTGCTGTTGTTCTGGGATTGATTTGCACTTTTCTCTAGGAGACAGAACGCGTCTCCCTCCTGAGCGGTATGATGGCTGTGTGGTCCCATGGTGTTTATACTTGCGTACTATTGTTTGTACATATGAACGTGGTACCTTCAGGCGTTTGGAAATTGTTCCCAAGGATGAACCAGACTTGTGGTCTACACTTTTTTTTCTGAGGTCTTGGCTCTTTTGATTTTCCCATGATGTCAAGCAAAGAGGCACTGAGTTTGAAGGTAGGCCTTGAAATACATCCACAGGTACACCTCCAATTGACTCAAATGATGTCAATTAGCCATGACATCATTTTCTGGAATTTTCCAAGCTGTTTAAAGGCAGAGTCAACTTAGTGTATGTAAACTTCTGACCCACTGGAATTGTGATACATTGAATTATAAGTGAAATAATCTGTCTGTAAACAATTGTTGGAAAAATGACTTGTGTCATGCACAAAGTAGATGTCCTAACCGACTTGCCAAAACTATAGTTTGTTAACAAGAAATTTGTGGAGTGGTTGAAAAACGAATTTTAATGACTCCAACCTAAGTGTATGTAAACTTCCGACTTCAACTGTACACTACCAGTCAAAGGTTTTAGAACACCTACTCATTCAAGGGTTATTATTTATTTTTACTATTTGTTACATTGTAGAATAATACTGAAGACATCAAAACTATGAAATAACACATATGGAATCATGTAGTAACCCAAAAAGTGTTAACAAATCAAAATATATTTGAGATTTGCCTTGATGACAGCTTTGCACACTCTTGGCATTCTCTCAACCAGCATCATGAGGTAGTCACCTGGAATGCATTTCAATTAACAGGTGTGCCTTGTTAAAAGTTAATTTGTGGAGTGGGGTATACAGAAGATAGCCCTATTTGGTAAAAGACCAAGTCCATATTATGGCAAAAATAGCTCAAATAAGCAAAGAGGGTCAGTCAATATGGAACATTTCAAGAACTTTGAAAGTTACTTCAAGTGCAGTCGCAAAAACCATCAAGCGCTATGATGAAACTGGATCTCATGACCACCACAGGAATGGAAGACCCAGAGTTACCTCTGCTGCAGAGGATAAGTTCATTAGAGTTACCAGCCTCAGAAATTGCAGCCCAAATAAATGCTTCACAGAGTTCAAGTAACAGACAAATCTCAACATCAACTGTTCAGAGGAGACTGTGTGAATCAGGCCTTCACGGTAGAATTGCTGCAAAGAAACCACTACTAAATAAGATGAAGAGACTTGCTTGGGCCAAGAAACACGAGCAATGGACATTAGACCGGTGGAAATTTGTCCTTTGGTCTGGAGTCCAAATTGGAGATTTTTGGTTCCAACCGCCGTGTCTTTGTGAGACGCAGAGTTGGTGAACGGATGATCTCCGCATGTGTATTTCCCACCGTAAAGCATGGAGGAGGAGGTGTTACGGATGGGTGTGCTTTGCTAGTGAGACTGTCTGTGATTTATTTAGAATTCAAGGCACACTTAACCAGCATGGCTACTACAGCATTCTGCAGAGCTACGCCATCCGATCTGGTTTGGCTCAGTGGGACTATAATTTGTTTTTCAACAGGACAATGACCCAACACACCTCCAGGCTCTGTAAGGGCTATTTTACCAAAAAGGAGAGTGATGGAGTGCTGCATCAGATGACCTGACCTGGCCTCCACAATCACCCGACCTCAACCCAATTGAGATGGTTTGGGATGAATCGGACCGCAGAGTGAAGGAAAAGCAGCCAACAAATGCTCAGCATATGTGGGAACTCCTTCAAGACTGTTGGAAAAGCATTATAGGTGAAGCTGGTTGAGAGAATGCCAAAAGTGTGCAAAGCTGTCATCAAGGCAAAGGGTGGCTATTTGAAGAATCTCAAATATAAAACATATTTTGATTTGTTTAACACTTGTTTGGTTACTACATGATTCCATATGTGTTATTTCATAGTTTTGATGTCTTCACTATTATTCAACAATGTAGAAAATAGTAAAAAATAGAGAAAACCCCTTGAATGAGTAGGTGTTCTAAAACTTTTGACCGGTAGTGTACCTGCTTAGTGACTAGCCTCCCACCAACTCATCTTTGCTTACCAGTTTAAAGTAAACCCTTATTAGTTCAATGTTTGTTAACTTTCTATAGAATAACCTCCTGTAAAGTGTAGTTGAAAACATTGACATAGTACAAGTGAAACAGGGCTTTAATGGTGTGTAAACATTCGAGCTAAGCTAAGCTATAAGTGCCTATGTATAAACAAGGACACAAAGCCATCAGTTCCGTGGAGGCACTGCTGCAGATGAGCCATATTCCATTTCAACTACATTTTAATGAAATGAGTCATGACTAGACCAATTATCACACAGAGGAATCCTGATAGACCCATTTCCCTGCCCCTGTGACTGGCAAGTAAATACATAGCAGAGACACATCACAGAAAAATGACTGCAATGTTCCATCCAAGTGAGAGAGGAAGGGTGGAGACTACTGTTTATAGGCCTAATTTCACAAGAACTTTACTTCACATGCATGTACTGTTATAAAGTTAGTCAATCCAAATAGATTTAAGAAACATGTTATAACAACATGCTCTAAAAAATATAATAAATAGATCGGGGAAAAAACAAAGTACCAAGTACTTGGGGAAACAATCCACTCAATAATTTGGGGTCATTAAACTCCATATCAAAAGCAGGATGTGATGGATTCTCATTAATTGTACTTTTGGCTCAAAAATCAAAGTCCAGGGGAAATTCTGACTGGATACCAACATGCTTCATCCACGTAGGCAACACTATTCCCATGGTCAGGAGGAGGCTTGTGGTTCAGTGCGACAGAATAGATAACATGTTCCACTCCAAATAAGGCTAAAGTATTTCAGGTTACATCTTTGAGTTCGCTGGGAAGTACTAGCCCAGCATGTGACCTAAAATAACCTACCATAAAATAATTAATTCACTCATCCATCATTTGTTGTTTCATTTGATATGAGAACTGTGGTAGAAATGTTGATCACCATAAAACCACTGAATTAGAGAAGTGAGTATGGAAAATAATTATGCACTGATGGCCTACAGGACTAAAACGATTTAAAAGCTTCAACCAAATAGGCCTATAGAATATCAGACGCATCAAGTTTGAACTAGAGATAAAAGAGTTGAATAGCCTTGCCTGCTCTTCTTAATCAAGATAGCATTGCTTTCAAGGGTGGCACTTTGATAATACAGGTATAATACAGGTACATTTCACTGATCTACATCAATAGATTGTGTTATTGCAGTACATTACACGTACTGTATATTACAGCTATAGGAGCCCTTTGCCGCATAGACTACTAACAAGTCACCTGTTCATTCTTGTCCTCTACGGAATCTGAGTGTTATTTTGGACAATTGGATTATTTAGGTGCGGCATTAGGAGATTAAATCATCATTAACGGTGTTGTTGACTGAGGGGATATAGGCTACGTTTGCTGTTGACAAATGGACAATGTTCAACTCTTCAACCAGACGAAAATGTGTTTCCAATTTAATATTGCATCTCCCACATGTGTATGGGCACTGGCTACTGCGTATTTAAAACACCCGTGGATGTCAAGCCTTCTTAAACCGGTTAGCTACAAATTATCTCACTAACGTTATGTCATAGCTGTTGCACGTTTCATGACAAACACTTTGCTTACATGCACAGTACTGGCACGGATATAGAGTTATAGCTACGATAAAATGGCCCAAACTACTAAAATGCATATGAAACATGCGTCTGGCAAGATGTTCTCATGAGAGACATGACAGACAATGACACAGCTTAAAATGTTTCACTCACCAGGTAGGCTCCAACAGTGCCCTGTGCCAACATCAGGGCACATTCCGATATCAAGAATATCTTGATGTTTGAGAAGCATGATGACTTTTTACGAATGCCCTCTCCAGGGCTCATGTCCGAACCCATTTGTTTTTTCACCTGCATCCTTTGGAGCCGCTATTTTGTATCACAGCGAGAAACGAAAGCCAGAGGGTAACCGGCCAGCCCGGAGATAAACATAGAAGACACCGACTATGTTTCCACTGTAGGCTACATTAAGCGAGTGTCTGACGCACGGTCTCGGTCTATTTGCTAGTTCAACCTATGCTTTACATCTGACAAACTATGACTGTAAATATACAGCCAGACTCCAAAGGGCTTCCGCTCCACAAGCTTTAAACATTGCCACTTCGTCGAATAAGACACATGAACTCACCGACGATTTTCTCAAATGCTTACGAGAATTAGAGACGCCGGGATTTCTCTCAAATAACATGATTTCCGAATATTGACGGTCGTTCACCAATGTTAAGCTTAACAATGCATAGATTTAAAAAAAAATCGATAAGAATCTTGCCACAGCGTCGCTGCTCCAGCTTTACTTGGCATGGTCCTTGTAGCCTACTGTACAGTATGTGAGCATGCACTCACTCCCTTCACCACTTGTGTAGCCTACTAGTATGTTCTGACTCCGCGCCTCTTCCAACCACTGACAGCCGTGGCCTATAGTGGTCATGTGTAGCATGCACCAAATTCTATGCTAACTTGCGTTCGAATAGACTCTCTCTCTCGCTCCGCTCTCTCTCTCTCTCGCTCTCTCTCTCGCTCTCTCGCTCTCTCGCGCTCTAAAACATACACATTGAGATAGGGAATTTGTTCATTCTAATTTATAGGCCTATTTAAAATAATAATAATTACTATTATTATTTCACATATTGAGCTCAAAGCAAAAGGGCCATTTCAAAATATTATCAACACATTGTGTGTTGCCATGGATTACTTAATGTTGAACAGAAAATGTGAACGACATGATTAAGTAAATGGCCCACATGATGCCAACAATTACTATAACAAATCCTTCCTGTATGATATACATGCACACATTAAAACATCCATTCTATTATTCTGTTTGTCCACATAACTGAGTTCTGAGATGATTGTATTAGTTTTAGCTTAGTCAATGGTCTTTAAGCGAGAAGAAGTAGACAGGACTGAGGACCATGACCTTTTGCCTCTACGTGGTATCACAGCTGGCCTTCCATGAGCAAAAAAATACCAGTCTTATCTGACACTCCAGCAACCCCTAACCTCTACCTTTCACACTGTCATTATGTGTACCCAAGCCCCCAAGCAGTGGACATCCGTGTGTGCAACAGAGAGCCATATAACTAATATTTAATAAGGAAGCATGACAGGTAATAATCTACAAAGGGAAAATATATAGTCCTTTAGTCTTGGTGGTTCAGTAAACCTGGTCAGTATAACTACTGCTTGTTAAAGGGATAGTTCACCCAAATTGCAAAATGATACATTGGTTTCCTTACCCTGTAAGCGGTCTATGGACAAGGTATGAGTCACGACTTCGGCCGAGGCTGCCTCCCCTCCTTGTTCGGGCAGACTTCGGCGTTCGTCGTCACCGGAGTACTAACCACTGCCGCCCCAATCATCATCACAATTATCTTGTCTCGTTATCACACACACCTGGTTCTAATCCCCTAATTAGTCAGTGTATAAGTGTTCCCTCTGCCCCCGTGTCCTTGTGGGTGATTGTTTATTGTGAAGGTTAGTGAAGCTCGGTGGAGCTCGTGTATTTTGTTCGACGGGAGTATTTTCCTGTGTGCCTTGTATTTTCCAGTGCACCTGTTTTGTGCCCAGGAGTGTGTTTGACGCAGTTCTGCGTAAACCTGTATTTTGCGGATTAAAGCCTGTTATTCTGTGATATGGAGTAAGCGGGAGAAGAGCGCATGCCTGGAGTCGTGGCACGGGTCCAGGAGCATTCAACGATGCTGGCCAGCTTGGGGGAAGCGATGGATCGGGTTCTTCAGGTCGTCCAATGCCTGGAGAGGAGAGAACCCGATCTGTCGAGACCAGCTGGCCAACCGGATCCAGCCACCTACACCCCAGCACCTGGAAGGGATCCAGATATCCCGACCACGGGCGTTTGATGGGACGACGGCGCTGTGCCAGGGATTCCTCCTCCAATTGGAGCTTTACTTCGCCAGCATCAGGCCGGAACCATCGGAGCGGGAGAAGGTGTCCGTCCTCGTTTCCTGCCTCTGTGGGAAAGCCCTGGAGTGGGCCAACGCGGTGTGGAACAAAGGAGGAGCCGCATTGGAGGACTACAGGGAGTTCGCTCGCCTCTTTCGGGCGGTCTTCGATCACCCGCCCGAGGGTAGAGGCGGGTGAGCGACTGGTCCATCTGAGGCAGGGGACAAGGACCGCGCAGGACTTCGCGTTGGAGTTTCGGACGCTGGCAGCGGGGTCCGGGTGGAACGAGCGGGCCCTGATCGACCATTTCCGGTGCCATCTGCAGGAGGACGTCCGACGGGAGCTAGCCTGCCGAGACACCATGTTGTCCTTCAAAAAAACTCGATGGACATCCGCCGAGAGAGCGGAGGAGGACAGCAACAGTGCCATTCTGGTGGCACGAAGGGACAATACACCACACGTCGTAGTCAACGTTCTTTTGGGCCGGGAGGTGGCAGGCAGGGCACTCACGCATCACCCCAGGTATCGAACACCCACACTTGTTCAGAGCCCTCTGCTGCGCACTGTACCCTACCTATCCACTTTCCCGATCTCATGGTAGTTCCCCAGTGTAAGGCGCTAGTCGATTCAGGCGCAGCTGGGAACTTTATGGGCATTCGCACGCCGTCAAGGCATAACATTGGTTCCCCTATCCATACCACTCCACATCAGAGCACTCGATAGTCGACCAATAGGGTCCGGGTTTGTTACGGAAGTCTCGATTTTTGAATATCCTGCTTTCCCTGTGGTGTTAGGTATCCCTTGGCTAGCACTCCACAACCCCACCTTATCATGGCCGCAGAGGGCTCTCACGGGGTGATCGCGAGAGTGTCAAGGTAGGTGTCTAGATGTTTCCGTTGGTGCAACCACGGTGGAAAGTCCAGACAGTACCTCCACCATGCGCATTCCCCCTGAATACCTCGATCTGGAGCAAGCGTTCTCTAAAATGCAGGCGACTAAATTACCACCTCATCGGGCGGGGGATTGCGCGATAAACCTCCGGGTAGACGCTGTACCTTCCAGGAGTCATGTATACCCCCTGTCACAGGCTGAAACGGTGGCTATGGAAACCTATGTTAACGAGTCCCTGCGCCAGGGGTATATACGTCCCTCCACTTCACCCGCCTCCTTGAGTTTCTTCTTTGTGAAGAAGAAGGACGGAGGTCTGCGCCCGTGCATTGATTATCGACCACTGAACAGGGAGACGATAAGATTTAGTTATCCTCTCCCCCTCATTCCTTCGGTGATTGAATCAATGCATGGGGCGCGCTTCTTCACCAAATTAGATCTCAGGAGTGTGTACAACCTGGTGCATATCCAAGAGGGAGATGAGTGGAAGACAGCATTCAGCACAACCACGGGGCATTATGAATACCTGGTGATGCCCTATGGTTTGATGAATGCCCCCTCAGTTTTCCAGTCCTTTGTGAACGAGTTGTTTCGGGACATGCTTGGTTGCGGTGTAGTGGTCTACATCGATGACATCCTGGTTCTATTCCGCTACGCGCACCGAGCATGTGTCCCTGGTTCGCAAGGTGCTGGCCCGACTGTTGGAGAATGACCGTTATGCTAAGGCAGAGAAGTGTATGTTTTTCCAGCAGTCCGTCTCCTTTCTTGGATACCACATTTCCACCTCAGGTGTGGAGATGGAGGGAGATCGCATTTCAGCCGTGCGTAATTGGCCGACTCCAACCACAGTTAAGGAGGTGAAGCGCTTCCTTGGCTTTGCCAGCTACTATCAGAGGTTTATCCGGGGCTTTGGCAAGGTCGCAGCTCCCATTACCTCCCTGTTGAAGGGTGGGCCGTCCCGGCTCCGCTGGTCTGCTGAGGCTGACCTGGCCTTCAGCAAACTGCGGGGTCTGTTCACCTCAGCCCCAGTACTGGCCCACCCCGATTCATCACTACCGTTCGTAGTGGAGGTGGATGTGTCCGATGTTGGGATAGAAGCTGTCCTGTCTCAACGCTCGGGTACGCCACCCAAGCTCTGTCCCTGTGCCTTCTTCTCTAAGAAGCTCAGCCCGGCGGAGCAGAACTATGACGTTGGTGATCGGGAGCTGTTGGCTGTTGTCCGAGCCTTGACCATGTGGAGGCTTTGACTCGAAGGGGCGAAACACCCTTTCCTCATCTGGACGGACCACCGCAACCTGGAGTACATCCAGGCAGCGAGGAGGCTGAATCCTCGCCATACCCGGTTTGATTTTACACTGTCATACATTCTGTGTACGAAGAACGTGAAGGCAGACACACTGTCCCGGGTGAATGACACAGAGGAGAGGCCCAGAGACAACACCCCCATACTCCCGGCCTCCTGCATTGTGGCGCCGGTAGTATGGGCGATGGACTTGGATATAGAGCAGGCATTACGCACAGATCCATCTCCACCGCAGTGTCCAGCTGGGCTGCGGTACGTGCCTGCTCTTATCTGTGATCGTCTGATCTTCTGGGCACACACGTCACCCAGGTATCGGCCGTACAGTGCGCTGCTTGAGCGGAAAGTACTGGTGGCCTACCTTGGCTAAGGACGTGAGGGTGTACGTCTCCTCCTGCTCGGTGTGCGCCCAGAGTAAGGCACCTAGGCACCTCCCAACGGGTAAGCTACAACCATTACCAGTTCCACAATGACCATGGTCTCATCTTAGTATTGATTTTCTGGCTGATCTTCCCCTCTCCCAAGGTAACACCACCATCCTGGTCGTTGTGGACCGCTTCTCCAAGTCCTGCCGCCTCCTTCCTCTGCCCAGTCTCCCCACGGCCCTGCAGACTGCGGAGGCCCTGTTTACTCACGTCTTCCGGCACTACGGGGTGCCAGAGGATATCGTGTCCGACCGAGTTCCCTAGTTCACGTCCAAGGTTTGGAAGGCGTTCATGAAAGTCTGGGGGTCTCGGTCAGCCTGACCTCTGGGTTCCACCCCGAGTCA